TGTGCGTGTGCGTGTGCGTGCGTGTGCGTGTGCATGTGCGTGTGCGTGTGCGTGCGTGTGCGTGTGCGTGTGCGTGTGCATGTGCGTTTCGCAGTCCAAGGAGAGGGGGGAGGAGTCCCGCCGACAAAGGGAGCGATCGAATGAAGTAGCAGACAGGGGGGATCAGCAAGCAGCCAGGTGGAAGGGCGATGTGTGAAAGTGTTGCCACGCACGCGCGGAACCTCCAGCAGGTCGTCCAGCCAGGCCAGCAGCGGCTCGTTGCGCAACTCAATCATCGACCAGATCTGCTCATGGTCGAAGCCCTCCGTAAGCAGGGAGGGCAGCGGGGCCAGCGGATGCGCCTGCTCGACGGCCGTGTAGCACGCCTTGGCCACGGCCAGCGACCCGGCAGCCGCCTGCTCGCGGCCATCCAGAGCCGCCGGCAGGCGCCGGATGGTCGTCGGGATGAAGGAGCGCTCCGGGGCGTCAAGGACATCCGAGAAGAATTGCTCGAACTCAAGAGACATCGTCTCCATGTTCAGAGGGGTGGTGGCCATGGCGGCGAGGTTGGGGATGGGGCGAAGGATGCGGGGGACCGGGTCGGCGGTGGGTGGCACGGGGGTGGGAGAGGGATCGAGGTAGACAGGGGCGTGTTCGATAAATGTGGTTGGGGAGGGGGGGGGGGGGGGGGAGGGCGGACTGTGCGTATGCTCAGGTGGCACTGAGGGCAGTGCACAGGGCAACTTGCCGGCCGATCAACCGACTGTTCCTTCCTCTCCCGGCCACCCCGCCCTCAGGAGGGCAGCAGCCCAGGAGGCATGGGTGATCCTCATGCGCTTTCCCTTTCTCCTCGTGCCCCTCCCCCGCCGAGTCAGGAACGGCCCCTCCCAGGGGGAGCAGCCATGAGCCGCAGGCCTCATGTCCCGGCCAGCATGGGCTTCCGACCCACCCCCCCCCCCCGCCCCACCCGGAGACTCGTGCCCATCCAGGGGGGTCATCTCGGCCACATGCGGCCCGGCGGTCTGTTGGCATGTGCGCTCCAGATCGTGGCCCGGCCGATCTGATATTGACTTGTCACGAGATCGAGCTATGTGGGCTGGAATCAGTTAAGCACACGGCGGGGGATGCTGTCCATTGCCATGTTCGCAAAGCCCGCCTCGCGTTGGTCCTCGCCCCCTCCCCCCTCCCGACGAACCTGCGCTGTTTGCCCTTGCCCTTGCCGTTCATGTCTGTGCAGGAGGACACCGAGAGAAGGCCCCCTCCCCCCTACAGAGGGAGAGAGAGAGAGGGGCCCCAGGCACCTTGGGGTGCGGTTTTAACTTGTACGGAGGAACACAGGCGCTGCAGGGGGTGTTGGTATTTTGTGAGGGCCAAACAGAGGCACCAGCCGCGAAATGCGGGGGGGGGGGGGGGGGGCTCTCCTCACTTGGCCTGTTCCTGGCCATTGGCCTTAGACGCCGACTGTGCCACCGGATACACGGCCACCTGGCTGAATGTCTCCTCCGCGCTCTCGCCCTTGGAGGGGACCTTCAGCACCAGGAAGTCGGTGAAGTGGGCATCAATCAGCTCTATGTCACTGCGCAGGGTGGTGCTGAGACTCTGCAAGCGGGGCCCATCCAGCAGCTGGCCACTGTCCAGCAGCTTCATTCGGCGCTCGGCGGTGGCGTTGTCAGGGGTGAGGCCCTTGTCGGAGACGGAGATCAGGTCATGCAGCGCCAGCACCTCCCGAATGGATTGATCCATGCTGGCGGGGTCCTTCTCGAGGCGGCCAAGGATGTAGCGGAGCTGAAGTCGATGAAGGGTGTGTGTGTGTGTGTGTGTGTGTGTGTGAAGGGGGGGGGCAACAGGAGGGGATGGTGAGTGCGGGCCGGGATGTGGGCCATGTCGACCAGGGGAGGGTGCACGGGAGAGGGGATGGGGGAAGGCGCACGTGGTTGTTGTTCAGCCGGCTAATCTCCTGGGACATGAGGAGATCGCGCTCAGCATGGCTGTCGAAGTCCTGGTCATGGAAGGTGGCATTGGAGGGGGTGGTCGTTCGCCGAGTGGGCAGTTTCCGAGAGTCGACCACCTGTGATGCCGAACATCGGGAGGGGGAGGGGGAAGCCTGGTAAGCGAAAGGCGACAGGAAAAGAGGAGCAGCCGGCGGCGACGGCGGCGGCGGCGGCGGCGGCTATATGTCATGGCAGTGGGGTGGGCGGCGTCTCAGTGCGCACGATCGACGACTCGGCCACCGGCTTCACAGTCATGTCCAGAGCAGCCAGGTTTTGTGAGAGAAGAGACTCGGCCGGGTCCACATGCGAGGATGCATCGAAGGGATCTACAGTGGTTGCGGTCAGTACACCGGGGGCGGGCGAGACAGGTGCAAAGCAACCGACACGACATACCAGCAGTGGCAGCCGTGGCCCGGGGAGCAGCCGTGGCAGCAGCGGCCCGAGGAGCAGCCGTGGCGGCGGCAGCGGCAGCGGCAGAGGCGGCGGCAGCGGTGTTGGCCGTCTGCTGGCTCGTGGAGCGCGCCACAGCAGCGCCCGCCTGTGTTGTGGCGCGACTGGCAGCCTGACCCATGGTTTTGGGAGAAAGGTGAGACCGACGAAGGGGGAGGAGAAGAGGCGTGGGGTGTGTGAGGTGGGGGATGTCTCGATGGAGGCGGGTCTCTAGCGGGCTCTATCGACTTGGCTGATGAATCTTCGCTCCCCCCCCCCCCGGCGCGTCGCTCTCCCTTCCGCCGGTCAGCGCCATGGACACTCGGCCAGGTGGGAGAAGGAGCGGGCTGGCCGGGGAACCCGGCAAGATCCCTCAGGTCCAAGACGGGCGCTTGTTTCCGGGAGATCTTGCCACCGCGGACAGGGGCGATAAACGTGTGGTGCGGCGGACGCATATGTGCGCGAGGGCGGGTGGGTGGGTGGGGGATTTGTTCCAGATCTTGGGCGCGCCCGGGCTGGGGTCGAGACTAACCCGGTGTGTGGGCACCTCGGCGGCTGGCACCTGCCCACTCTTCGCATGGGGGCGGACACTTTTTCGGGACCCGCCTAGAAGTGGCCCCCCTGTTGAAAGGGCGATCACCAGATTTCTCCCCTTCCCTTTGCAATCTCTCCCCGTGCTGTCTGCGCCCGCCTTTCCCTGGCCTCTCCTCCTTTCCGTTACTCCACGTCCGCACTTTGCCCCTCCTCCTCCTCCTCCTCCTCCTCTTCCTCCTCCTCCTTCTCCTCTCCCCCGCCTGTCCTCCTCCAAAAGCCCAAAAAAATGCCGCCGTTTAGACGGTCCGGCGTGAAGTACAAGACCTCCTTGGCCGAGGAGCTCTCCAAGTCAGCGGCCACAGCCCCGACCGACCCAAACCTGCCCAAAGGCAAGGTCCATCGGATCAAGCTGCCCCCGACAGTTGAGCGGGCGCGCATCATCTCCTGGAACGTGGCCGTCGGTCAGGATGTCAAGATCAACGAGGTGCGCCGTCTCTCTCTCTCTCTCTCTCTCTCTCTCCCCCTTCGCCGCCTTCACGGCTGGCCATATCGCCAACACCGCCTCGGGCCCATGTGTGTGTGTGTGTGTGTGCTTTCCCCGTGTGCGGATGTGCCGTGGTCTAACCCAATGTAGCGTCTCGGAGTCTATTCCTTCCTCAAGGAAGAGACCGTGGTCCATGTGATGGCATCCGAGCGCGTGGACGAAACGGAGTCCGGCGAGACGACGGTCCTTCGATCGGACGATCTGAATAGCCGTCTTTCGCTGGAGCACTTCTCCAGCCCGCAGGTTGGATCGCCGGTGGCCAGTGCCACGGCGGCGACGGCGGCGGCGGCGGCGGCGGCGGCCACTTCGGCCGTGGCTGCGCCGATGGCCACGGCGGCGCCCGGCACGCGACCTGACCCCCCTGGGCATGTGGGCGGCGTCGACAGCCGCCCTGGGCCGGAGAGCTCCGGGGCGGCGGCGGCGGCGGCCGGCGCCCCGCCGGAGCCCGTCACTCGGCTCATCGATCCTCCACCTTCGGGCTCGGCCACGGGCGGCAGTGGCAATGACAGCGACGAGGAGAGTGCTGGCGATAGCTCGGATGACAGCGACAGGGATCTTTCCTCCATCGCCGGGGTTGATGGTGGGGCGTCCAGCACCGAATCCAGCCCGGCTGCCGTGTCATCGACCGATGTGGATGTCGACGCGGACGCCGAGGCCGAGGGGGTTTCCTGCTCGGTCGGGCGCTTCGGCGGGTCGGTGGACGACGACTTCGATGATGAGTGTGAGGAGGCCGATTTGGAGCGAGCCTACTCCCTGTCGCAGGATCCGCTCAAGCGTCCGGCTAGCCCGGCAGCCCGGTCGGCTAAGCGCCAGCGCGCCGAGCACCATCGGCGCCTCCTGGAGCGCACCGGCATCCAGACAAGCATCCAGAGCGATGACGATTCGGTGGCGGCCGGTCCGAGTGCCCCGCAGCGCCGGCGCCTGGTCGCCGACACCGGCATGCTGTATTCCCAAATCCGAGGCCGGGTGCTGGAGATCCTCAAGCAGCCGGATGAGTTTGTGGAGAAGGGCCAGGCTGTGATGGTGGTGCAGGAGTTCTGTGCGCATGTGCTGATCCTGAAGGACAAGTGTGTGGAATGCCATCAGGTGTTTGATATGTCCTGCGAGCAGGATATGTTTGCCGAGGTCTTCCACAACTCCAGCCAGTTGCGCATGCAAATTGACCACGCGCACCTGGCCCTGCAGCAGCACTTCGAGAAGCTGCGCCAGGAGCGCCGGCTTACCCTGGTGCTGGACATCGACCAGACCCTGCTCCATGCCACGGATGATCCGGTGGTCCGAGACATCATCGACCGGGCGGCGCGCCTCTTCCCGGACACCGTCAGCCGGACCATCGATGATCAGGCTGGAGTGGTGGCCCCGGCCGGTGGCGGTGGCGGCGGCGGCGGCGGCGGCGGCGGCGGCGAAGCCGGCCCGGGGTCGCCGCGCCTATCCACTCAAATGACCAATGTCCCGGCGGAGGGGGCTGCACCGGCTGCGGGGGCCGACTCGATGCCGATCTCCTCCTTCCCGGAGTTGATGCGTTCCGTCGGCCTTGAGGACACCTTCCCCACGATTGCCGGGATTTATGCGCGCCTGCGCCCGGGCCTGCGGGACTTCCTGCAAACGTGCTCTGAGCTCTTCGAAATGCACATCTACACGCACGGCAATGAGGCGTATGGCCGCAGTGTGGCCGCCATTCTGGATCCCACGCACCGGTACTTCGGCTCACGCATTCTCACTCGTGATTCCAACCAAAGTGCGTCCACTTCCGGGCGCGCCTGCTGCCAGGGCCCCTGCGCCCCATCCTGCCTGCGTGGTTCCGCTGTGCCTCTCATCATTTCTCTGCTGCCTTCCTTTTCTGACTCCTCTCCCTCCCTCCCTCCCTCTCTCTCTCTCTCCCCGCCTCGCCTCGCCTCCTGTATCAGGCATCAGCGGCAAGAATCTTGGCCGGCTCTTCCTGTCCGACAACTCCATGGTCCTGATTCTGGATGACCGTGGAGACGTGTGGAACTGGTGCCCCAATCTGATCCGCGTGCATCCCTGTGCGTTGTGCATGCGCCGGCGCGCCGGCGGCCTTGCTTCCCCACCTTGGGCTTGATCCGCCTTCTTGCTATGCTGCTGGGCCCCGGGCCGATGCGCCTGATCCGATTGTCCGGTCTCCTCGTCTCACCCTCTTCTCCGCTTCGCCCCCCTCTCCGGTCCCTGTGACAGACCGCTTCTTCCTCAGTGCCAGCAATGTCAACGTTGTGGACAGCACCGGCGCCGTCGTCCGGCCGGGCAACGCCCCGACATCGACGGCCGGCGGGGAGGCCGGTGCGGCCAATGGTGGCGCCGCCGAGTCCAGCTGCCCGGTGAAGGACTTCCAGGCCTTGGCAGCGGCGCATTCCGGCCGCTGGAAGACCCTGTCCAATGATCTGCGTGATGATGTCCTCCCCCGGATAACCCGCCTGCTGCGGTCGCTACATGGGGCCTACTTCCAGGACCTGGAGCAGGGCGCGCACATTGCCGGGTCTCTGCCACCGGATGTGACGGTGTTCCTCAAAAAGCAGCGCACCCGGATCCTGGCCGGTTGTCGAGTGGCCTTCTGCCATTCCATCATCCCGCCAAATGCGGACCCGACCAAGTGCGTGTCACAGCTTCGCCGCGTCCGAAAGCGCGCTCCTCCTTTGGCTACTAATAATCGCCCCCCCCCCCC